GCCGAAATCCGAGTTATAACGATGAAGTTATGACATGTCGAAGTTTCGCGACGGAACCGGCAACGCTGAATGACGTAAAAAGTGAAATTCACGTTAGAGCGATATTTAGCCCTAGTGATCTAAACGAATGTTATAGAGTTCGATAAACTGAGAGCGTGCATAAAAAGAACGCCCAAATCTGACTTTGTATGAGGAAGTTATGATTTTTCGAAGTTTCGACTTAGCAGTATGCAGCCCGAATACTTGATTCGAGATCGAGTGATTGTTGGTCTAAACAATCTAAACGAGAATCGAAGATCTCATTGATAGTAGTGCATTGGTGAAAAGATAGGCGAAAACGGACGTCGGATGAAAAAGTTATGAATTTATAACGAAGTTTTCTTGTCCCGGCCTACTAAAAAAAAATAATAAAAAAAAATAATAATAAATTCAAAATTAGCCGACGGAGTCTAAACGAAAGTTGTAGAGCGTAGTCTCACCTACGCGTGGATATAAAGAACGTCGAAAATGGAGTTCGTATGAAGAAGATATGAATTTTTGAAGTTTATTAAATAATTAATATATAAATTTAATTATTAAATCCGATATTATCCGAAAGGGAGTCACCGGACTTATCCGGGTTACGCCCAGCGTAAGGTTGTACGCCCAGCGTACAGCGAAGCGTGACCAGCCTCGCACTCGAGTTCTTCGGATACGTAAGCAGTGGCGATTTTGGAGGCGTACGCCCCGCGTAGAGCATTACGCCCAGCGTAATGCGAGGCCTCAGCCTCCTATAAAAGGCTTGCGAGGGCAGCCGACTCCATTTGCCAAATTCTCTTCTCTTTCTCCCGTTTTGCATCTTTTTGCGTGCCAGAAGTATCCCGAAGCCCCGGTATCAATCCCGAGCCCCGAAGCAAGTTCCGAAGCCCCGAAGATCCCAAGAAGTGCAATTCCCGAGCCGAAGCTCTACTCGCGAGAAGCCCGGTTTTTGTGAAGATCTTCCAGATCTACTGAAGAATACTACTTCTGCAAGTCGTAGTGCTGTCCGATCATCTTCTGATCAAGTGAGTGTGTAGTTACCTTCTTCTAACACATAATTATGAAGTATTTTATACGAAATACGTGTTATGTGTATATTTTGTTGTTATATGCGTGAATGTATATTCACTTTCTTCTATCTCATAGATCTGATTTATTCTCTATGAAATACGTGTTATGTGGGTGTGCCTCATCTGTTATGTGGAATATGTATTGAATGAGAATGCTATACATGTTTTAAACTATGTATAAAAATATATATTTTTATCTACTAATATGTTGGGTAGAACATGGGTAGATAGTTGATGTGTGATAAACAGATGAGAGGCCTCGATGTTGTTGTTGTTGATCTAGTTATTCAGCGGAGTATGGATAACGACCACAGACTCTTTCTAGACAGTCCTGTGGAACGCTAGCAGGTTCATAACCTGTAGGTGTTGTGAACGATGTGTTCACCGGTGTACTCTATCCCCCTCATGGTTGCCTTTAGGACATCTATTGTTGAGGAAACCCCTTCGCAGTAATGTCCGTCCCGATGAAAATCCTAGATTAGGTCCCTTGAGATAGATGTTGTTTTAGGGACATAAAGTGAGGATAATGGGAATGGGTAATCGGGTTATTGTTGGTTGGTGAAATTAAATATAATTATTTATTGTGGGTTGAAAACCCTATTTGCTCACCAGGCTCCCAAGCCTGATCCACTCAGTTTTATTTGTATTACAGGAAGTGGCGCAAGGGCATAAGATGGATGAATCATCGAGTTGTTTTGTTTACAAGTCTGTATATGTATATATTTGTTGAATGACTTGTAATGTTATCGTTTATGCTTTATGGTATGTATCTGAACATGACATCCCGAGTTTTGATTATATAATGAAAATGCATCTCTTGATGAAATGCTTTGATAAATATTATTTTATCATATTTTGTTTTGGGAACAAATTCCGCAACTCTTTTAAATCAAAAGGATTTACTCTGAAATTATTTTAAAAAACATAAATGAAATCGGTCTTTTCTGGCCGAGATTTTGGGGATGTCACATCAAGGTATTACATTTTTATAACCCTTGATTTTCCACCAAGTAACATGAAGCTTCTTTTTATTCATTTCCTAATTTGAAGTGTATATATATATTATTGATTCTTTTTACAGGTTCATGAACGTATTGATACAAAACATATTGATATTCTTACAAAAGGTATTAGTTTGTATAATTTTAGACCAATTCTCACATAAGTGCTCTTTTATGATAGTCTCTCTATATGCGCCAAGTTATCAATGGATTCAAAATCACCATATCATGGGTAGAGTCGTTGGGTATGAGCAAAACATCTGTGACATGCTTTAGATTCAGTAATATTTGGAAGTTATGCTACAAAGTCAACCAGTCAACTAACTTTTGGCTTTTTAAATTATTTCCAATATATCTATTTTGTTTCAAGAGCTAAAAACACCATTTATTTATTTGCAGGTTTTTGCCTTATGTTGGTTATATTACAATCGTAATGACTGAAAAACCCATTATAAAGGTATGTATACTTTCTGATTTTAGAAAGTATAAAGTTGTAATAATAAAAAATGAACTAATAATGTTATATAACATAGAAAACAGAAAGTACATTGCTATTTCTTGCATTTAGCCAATTCTGATTGATGTTGGAATCTTGTAGTATGTTCTTATTGGTGCTTTGGGTTTTCTGGCACTTACATCTAAAGATTGATAACCAAGATTGTAGAAGTTTCCAGTTCTATACACATATTTATCAGAGGTTAATTGACAGTTGAGAATAGTGGTTCTCAATAGATTCAATCTTAACATCAAGAAATAAAACAATCATTTGAGGTTGGATGTTATGTTATAGCTGCCCATTTTTTCATTCAAGTAGAAGAAAAATAACTTTGCTGGGTTTTAGGGGTCATTTATAAATGACATATAAGATCTAATTACTTGCTTATTCAAGGGGTTGGGGAAATTGCTAAGTAGAATGTTACTCTGTCTTACTCTAAAGATTTTTTTAAAGTTTCAGTTAACAATCAAATATTTTTATTCAAAAACAATTCCACTTGACATTATAGTTTGTTCAAAATACATGTAAGAAGCAAGGTTCTATATGCTAAGACTACTTTTAGTGGTAGCTTGTGGCAAAACTTTTTACTGTTTGAAAAAGTTTTAGATAGCTTTTAACGATTGAAAATTAAAGCTTTGTTTAATAGGTCAAAGTATAATTTTGTTTATTTTGGCTTTTACATTTAATAACATTTCATTTTTCACCTTACTTATAACCCGATACTAAATTTTTTCTTAGTTAATCTATTTAATTAAATGTTACTGTTTGGAGAAATTGTTTAATATAATTGAACTTGATGTTGCTATTTTCAGGAAGAAGGATTATCAGCAATGAGAGATTATCAAAATAAAATCTCAAAATATATATATTTATTGGCTTTTCGGTTTAACAAAAATTATAAAAGTTTAACGAAAACCAAACCAAACAAAGTTATTATTATTCGGTTAACCAAAACAAATTACCCAAAAACCAAATAATCCAAACATCATTTGTTTTTTTTTCCGTTGTTCGTTTTCGGTTTTTATCTCACACCCCTAATTGTGTGAGTACAAACTTACGAACAAAACATTCAATGTTACATGAAAATGCATGTCTGCAAACTTATGATTAATTATTACTATTTTAAATTCTATGTTCTATTATTTTTTTTTCATCTTTTACTTATAGTAAAAACACACTTCATTCATTATTTTAATTTATAATTTATTGTGTTATGTTTATGTATGGTTATTACATTGATGTCATGTTTAGTTTATCACATATCATTGTCATTTATATTATTTATTGTGTTTTTTTTTAACTATACGCAAATGTATATTTATAATGCCTATAGCCATACACTAAAAAATTACAATGATTCAGTCATAAAAAGTGAAATGGTGTATGTAATTAAGAGTTCTTACTATAAAAATTATAATGCCTTTAATCCGAAAAATCATGTACCAAATGTAAGGGTTTAAATACCAAATGGTCAATGGCCTAGCGGTAAGGAGTGACCATCTCATATGAGAGGTTATGAGTTCAAATCTCAGTGGAGACATCAATAGATATTAGGAATAGGTTAGTTAGTTTGCCGTTTCTAAAAAAATAAGAATAAATATTTTTTTACAACCTACATGCTTGTCTTGTGAATAAAACTCCAAAAGTGATACTATGTTGCATTATACAAACTCATGACTTTTATAAAATAGATGGATTTACATATGTACTTAAATACTTACAAATTACAAAGTTATTAAAAAAAATACAAAATTACAATTCATAAGTTTTTCTAAATTAATGATATATTATTTTATTACATAATCAATTTTTTAATTTTATTTAAAATTAACATTTGTGGGTTCCACGGGTTTTAACGTAGTTAGTTATATAAACCCTTCTTTTAGCATTACTTTTAATTTTTAAATTTAAAAGAAAAAGTAAATATATGATTAGGCACTACTTTTTAAATTTAGAAAATAAAACAAAAATTAAATTAGTTATATAACCCCTTCTTTTAGCATTACTTTTAAATTTTAAGAGTAAATTACACGAATGGTCCCTATGGTTTAGGGTAATTTGCACGTTTGGTCCCTAACTTATTTTTTTTAACTCGAAAGGTCCCTACTATTTGTTTTTGTTATGCGTTTGGTCCCTGTCTTACCTAAAAAAACAATTTTTCCCTTGATTTTTTAATTTATTTAAATAAATACACCCTAACCCCACCCCCTCACCTTACCTTACCTACACCACCATTTTTTCCTATTTAAATAATAGTCTTTTTAGGTAAGATAGCGACCAAACGCATAACAAAAACAAACATAGGGACCAAACATGTAACAAAAACAAAGAGTAGGGATCTTCCGAGTTAAAAAACAAGTTAGGGACCAAACACGCAAATTACCGCAACCCATAGGGACCATTCGTGTAATTTACTCAATTTTTAAATATATGATTAGGCAAGGTGTCGACCACACGCCCTGGCATAGCCTTTCCCGCAGGGACATCCACAATAGAGCCAGTGCGCTTGACAAGATCTCCTTCTTTAATAGCAGTATCACTACCAAAGATAACAATCCCTACATTCTCATTCTCAAGATTCAAGGCTATTCCTTTCACACCGCTAACAAATTCAACCATTTCCCCAGCTTGAATCTCGTTCAACCCATAAACACGTGCAATCCCATCTCCAACTGAGACCACTCGACCAATCTCATCCACTTGAAAATTCGTGTAAAAGTTGCTAATTCTACTTTCTAATAGAGTCGTTAGTTCAGCAGCTCTCAGAGAGAATTCCATGATTCTATTTATTTTGGGCTATATATAAGGGGGAATACTGATTTCAATCTCAAAGAGCTCTATTTCTGCCTAAGATCTATTCTTATAGAATACCAGTCAACTCCTTCTTTCGCTTATGTCGAGTAAATTCCTTCTATCCCAGTGAGGAGTATAGAAAAATTCTTGCCTTCTGAGATTGACTTCCTTGGGGCTGTTGAATATCTCTTTTACCGCCTATGTTGTAGTTCGAGATCGAAACTGGACCTGAGAGAGAGACTAGGCTTCTAGTAACAGTAGGTGCGCCTTCAGTTGAGGAGAGTTGTTCACAAGTAGTGGTTATGAGCTCTTTCTTATTCCAGTTCAGAATAGGTAATTCCTTCGGTTGCACTAGTGGATTAAATAACCTTTTTTTTAGTGCCAACAAAGTGCATGTGTTGTTGGTTAATGTTAATAAAAAATTGACTTTCGATAGGCTGGAGGACTGAGACTAGAAGTAGGACAAAGGTCATTACAAGAGAAATCTTTAGAAAAGTTTTATGATTTTAAGAAAAAACTAGTAATTAATCTCAAATTTATATTTTTGAATGGAAAAAACTCAAGAAACCGACAAATTTCTTCATTTTAATCTCGTTTGACCTGTTCAGCAGCTCATTAGACGAAATCGTTAATTTTCTCAAAATAATGAGATTTTTCTACAATTTTTTTAAAATTTCAATATAATGTACAAACGTATTTTTATATTTTTATATATTTTTAAGTATGTGTGTGTATATATATATATATATATATATATATAGATGTATAATGTAGTTATGTATTTTTGTAAGTATTTTAAGCTATTTAATATAATTTTTTTTCATGTTTTTATGTATTTTAAATGCATAAACTTATCTTTTACGTATTTATATGAATTTTCAATTATTTTAACATACTTTTATTTATTTTGGTATATTTTTTTTTACCTATTTATGTAACCTTTAAGTTTTTTATATATTTTCTTTTTATATATTTTTATGTATTTAAATGTATAAACATATTTTTTTTTACATGTTTATATGTATTTTTAAGTATTTTGGTATATTTTGTTTTACATAGAAAAAACACGTGTATACATTATATACAAATTTTAAGGAAATCTGTAGAAAAGTCTCGTTATTTTCGAAAAATTAATGAGAAAAAACATCATAAATGGTTCCTGTGGTTTCCCCAAATCTGAAGTTTAATCATCGTGGTTTAAAAACCTCATAGATGGTCTATGTGCTTTCAAAACTTTTGATGTTTTGTCCTTTTTGCTAACTCTGTTAGCTTTCCACCGTTAAATGAAGGGTATTTCCGTCATTTAACTATACAGGGACCTTTTATGAGGTTTTCTTTTCTTTTATTTTTTTAAAATTAAATTTAATATCCAAGGTCTCTTTCCCCCTCTTTCTTTATTTCTTTCTTTCTTTCTCTCTCTCTCTCATACACACACCATAGCCATACCCCCACCCTATCCTACTCTTTGTCTGCCATTACCACCACCATCGCCACCACCGTCCACCATCACCACTGCCATCATTAGACCAAAATCACCACCCTTATTTCTCCATTCCAGCACTACAAAACATCTTAGCCATCGTTACTTCCACCTACCAAACCACCACATACCCTTCACCACCGCCATTATCTTTACTAATATCGTATTCTTCATTTTCTTCATTGAAACTGTTCATTTTTTCTCCCATGTGAGTACCTAATCAATAATGAGCAAAAACAACCATCCCATTCATTAAACCAATCAAAAGTCCATCAACTACACTAGAACTTAGACCTTCAAAATTATCAGATGCAAAACGGTAAGAAATCGGAGATCATTGCTTCAACAAGTCGAAAACGAAATTAGGCAAAACCCCCAGTTAATAAAATCGATTAAACCTGTTTGGAAGTTGCCAAAGCAGTTTCCCTGAAATCAAATGCTAGGGTTTCCAACATTTACACAGTTCGAACAACCATAAACCCTCCACCACCGATGCCATTAGCCATCGAATTCACAACACCACCAGACAGAACAACCGCCACAACAACATTGGTATCTTAGGAGGTTTTTCTAGTGGGATGAATAAAGCTTAACTGGTTTCTAGATTGAAATCTAGTGGAATGAAGAAAGGCTTCCGACTTGAAATCCGGTGAGGATGAAGAGAGATTTCCGGTGATGCTATGATATCCGCCGAGCAATGACGGGGAAGCGGTTAAGCTTTTAGACGGGGCCACTAGACATCGGAGGCGATGGAGTTATCGAAGGAGGTGGGAACCGGAAACGCCAATGGTGGGAGGTTTGGTTCACCAACAGTCAATCGATGGATGATTAGATTAGGAAGCAGGGATCGATGAAGGTGAATGGTTAGGTTGGGGAAGAATAGGAGTGGGGATCTAGTGTATGTATGTGTTTGTCGAGAGAGAGAGAGAGAGAGAGAGAGAGAGAGAGAGAGACCTTGGATATTAAATTTAATTTAAAAAAAATAAAAGAAAAGAGAATCTCATAAAAGGTCCTTGGATAGTTAAATGATAAAAATACCCTTCATTTAACGGTGGAAAGCTAACGGAGTTAGCAAAAAGGACCAAACATCAAAAGTTTTGAAAGCACAAAGACCATCTATGACGTTTTTAAACCACGAGGATTAAACTTCAGATTTGGGAAAACCACAGGGACCATTTATGATGTTTTTTTCAATTAATGATTTGATTTAATGATCTGTTGAACAGATCAAAAGAGGTTAAGGTAAACAAATTTGCCGGTTTATTAAGCTCTTCTATTTAAAAATAAATAAATTTGGGACTTAATCGTTAATTTCTTCAAAATAATAAGACTTTTCTAGAGATTTTACAGTCCCGACAATATAATAAAGTTATGTCAATTTCATAAAACTATGTAATAAAAACCCTTAAAAAAGGTTTTTTTAGGCTAATGGTATGATCACTACATTCTAAGTAGAAAAGTGACACCATATAGGTACCACATCATATTCACTACATCTTTACTACCACATCATTAACACTTGGAAACGGCTACCACTTTATATTATATTACTTTTTTTTAACATTAGATTAAATAAGAAAACATAACTTTAATCTTAAATAAATATTTTATTAACAAAAAATTACATTTAAACACTAATGTAAGAGGAATGAGACTTGGGGGCTTTTGTGCCAAAACCCAAAATTTAGGAATGAGGTTTTTATCTTTGAGTGGGTTTATCGGTTGTCCCTTTTATTTCATTCGACACACCAAACCTTAAAACCTCTCTCACCCTCTGCCTTGCATGCGCTGTGCAAGAAGGACGGAAAGAACTCGACAAAAAAAGGGGAGAAGGAGATAGAGATGGAGAAGGAAAAAAGACTAGAAGGAGAAACAGAGGCGCGAGGAACAAAGCCAATCAAATGGTTTCAACCAATCATAGCCTCCATAATCATCCATGAATAGCTTCACTTTTCAACACGATTACATTCCTTTGGACAGTTGTTCACACGTGGAAAAGTTTGCCACGTCGGCTTTGACGCGTAAGAACACCTCCATACCGGATAGTCTTAGACCTAACAGAGTGCAGCGGGATGGAACCGAGGGAAGCTTTCCCGCATGTCGGAACACCACATCGGCGATGCGTGAATGGTGGTGCGGGGAGGATGTGAAGGAACCGGTTGCCGCACCCTTTCTCCTCTTCCTATTAGCTGATTTTTTTTTTTTTTTTTTTGTCGTTGGCAACGGTAATATGTTTAAAATATTCAAATGTATACATATGCTTGTGTATGTTAACGGCTAGAATAATATATATATATATATATATATATATATATATATATATATATATATATATATATATATATTAATTTTTTTTTATTTCTTTCCCTTGCTATAAATATCAACTCAACCAACCAGGGGCGTAGACAGTAAGGGGCAGACAGGTGCTTAGCCACCCCCAATCTCATTAAAACGTTCTTATCGTAAAACTTGAAAACGATGAAGCCATATCATTTAGTTATTTTGTGCTCCTTAATATATTTTAAATTTTCCTATTATAATATATAAGCAAAGTAATAAGGCTTTCTAAAACTTGAAGCCCACTGCGGGTTAAGTTAAAAGCCGATCGCCTCCTTATTTTAATTGTGGAAAGTTATAGACACAAACCTTTTTTTTTTTAACGATATACCTTTTTTTTTGTTATTCGACAACGTCAAGGATTAACAAGCTCTTCTATATGATTTCAGTTTTCCAATAAATAAGAAGGTAAGTTTCGATTCTTATTACTTGTTACACATTTATTTTTTTGTAATTTGTAAATAATTGTTTTGTTATGATTGGTAATTTGGTTTCTTATAATGATAGAATAAGTTATGAACAAGAAAAAGAACCATTGATTTTTTTCTCAAACTAAAAAAAATGTTCATGAACCACAATTACATTATATTAGTGATGATATTAGGAAAGATCGATGTTTATAGTACAATCTCATAGCTTCAAATGAATAATAATGTTGAAGAGTCAATTAATAACCTCAAAAAAATAACATGTCAAATTTAGGAGAAGAAAAATTAGATTCTTTGATTCGTGATCCCGACAACACGTTCAATCATAAATTATCCAAGTAACCAACATGATATGATTAAACGATTATATATTAAACTTGGGTCATATCAACTTTAAAAATCAAAGTATCTCTTCAATATTAGTGGTCCTAACGGTTGTAAGCGCAATTTTAACAAGCTTTGTTTAAGAATTTTTTGTAGTTGGAATATTAAATGAAAAGGGATGTTGTGTTTTGTTTTCCTTGTTTTATTTTTAAGAACCTATTGGACAACCCAACTCATATACATTTATCGTAATAGGGTTTAATAAATAAATAAATAAAAGTGAATTATGAAAAAGATTGCGCTTTCATTGTCCGTAAAGGTAAGACTCCGACCTCAACACATAGTTTACACATAATTTATAGACTCTATTATGTTATTTGAACAATATATATATATATATATATATATAAATAGTATTTTATCGTGACATGGGCCCCCGTTATCGTAAAATCCTGGCTCCGCCCCTGCAACCAACATTCTTTTTAATTCATTCCTACATATTCTTTCCAAAAAAAACACTAAAACTCAATGTCATCATCTTCATTATCCGATTCGACGGCTAAAGAGGAGACATTGTTTGTCGGTCCCGTCATGGCGAAGACTATTGCATACTTTCAAAACCGACAAGGCCAAAATTCACGTCCACGACCTAAAACAATAATACCGCCGTTGCGTAGAAATCGCGAAGCCGGACACAATCGTCTTATAGAAAACTACTTTGCAGATGACGCCGTGTACACTGAAAAGTTTCGATGGCGGTTCCGGATGAGGAAAAAGCTATTCTTACGTATTGTTGGGGGATTTGGAATGACGTTTTCCATATTTCAAATGGAAGTTGGATGGGAGACGCAAAAAAGGTCTCTCTCCAATTAAAAAATGCACTGTCATAATTCGTCAGTTAGCATATGGCATGGACGCAGACAAATGAGACGAGTATTTTAGGATGTCTGAGCGTACTGTACGGGAATGTGTGTACAAGTTCTACAAAGCTATTAGTTTAGTTTACGGTCAACGATATTTGCGCAAACCAACTATCAACAATATCCACCAATTGTACATGCTATTTGCACAATTCGTCTAGTGTTTATTTTATTTTATTTTTAGTCTTGCTTATTTTAGTGTATCTTTTTATGTAATTTTTAATTAATGAAGTGATTTTTATTTTTAAATAATTTTGATGTTTATTATTCATTTAAAAAAGTTATAAATCATCAAAATCAATTATTTTTATTTTAAAAAGAAAAAAGTGAAGGAAAGTGAATGAAATGATGAGGACACGTACCATACGGTCTTAGCGCCTTAGACTGCATGGTCTGAACAAAGAAAAAAAAACCATTGAAAGTCCACTTAGGCATAAAACCCTCTTCATCTTCCCACAACAAATTTTTCAGGTGTGGTGTTCCAAGGCTAAAAACGTAGTTATGAGGCAAATTAAAGAAGAGAAACAAAGGGATAACACTTGTTGCATTTCGTTACCACCACCATGAAGCATCACATAATGGTTAGGGGGGCGGTGTTCCCCCGTGTTCACGGCATGAAGGTGCAGACACGTAGGCAACAACAAGTCATAACGTGCCCACACGGCCACACCCAATGGTCTTAAGATAATGGTACGCGGCATCATATCATTATTACGAAAAGAAACATACTGACTTTTTAGTTTCATCCGAATAATATCATTATTACCAAAAGAAACATACTGACTTTTTAGTTTCATCCGAATAATTATTCCCAAAAAGGGAGATGAACCAAGGTCAAATTCTACAATATAATATGCTTTTGGTACAACTATTTATTGGTATGTAATGAGACGACTTATTAACCAAAGTTTTAATTTGTCCATTTGGGGGCAACATTACTCGATACCTTGTGAATGAAATCTTTCATTTGGGCAATAAGTTGTCTAGATTCAGGCAATTCCGGAAAGATATAGAAAGCATGACACACATTTGGGTACTCTACCAAATAAACTTCTTTCCCGGACTTTTTCAGCCACTCATAGTACCTTTTTTGCCAGTCATTTAGGGCATCGAACCCGCCGACCACCAACATGATCGGCGGCAGTTTTATTTCCGATATGTCCACCGCCTGTGGGCCACTAACGTTGATGATTGGGTGGTCCCGATTGAACCCTTCTCCTTCTGGCAAAAATGCCTTCCACATCCAATCTGTTCGTTTAACTGAAACTATTGGTGTTCCGGCGAAGCGAGCCTCAGAGTCCGTTCGCTCCTCGCCGCCAAAGAATGGTTGAATTGCTACAACTCCGGTGACCTGCAAACATGATAACAAGGATATAAAAGCATTTACCAATTATAATGAATGTAGAAGATATTATAATGAGGGTCTCGGAATCCGTTCACTGAAATGTATATTGTTTATGAGATTGAATAGTTCAGATATTTGCTCAACATATTAAAAACAGTTGTCTATGAAAAAGATCAGATTAGTTTAGAAAACTTTGATCAATATACCTTGAGTCGTCGGAAGTTGAATTCACAGGCTCGTTGAGCAACATGATGGGCTAAGTTTCCACCGGCGCTATCTCCAGCAAGAAAGCAACGCAACAGATTCGCATTTTCCGGCAAAGATTTAGACCTATTCTCTTCATCATCAAGAAACTTCAGCACATCGAAGCAATCATCATGTTGGGCCGGATACCGATGCTCCGGCGCAAGGCGGTAGTTCACAGAAACAACAACAGCTGGTACTTTTCTCGCGAAGCGGCGGCACATGGCGTCGTAAGGAAAAACATGGGGGGAGAGCATGATAAATCCGCCTCCGTGAAAGTACACGATCACTGGGAGATCTTCACCGGCGTGTTGTGTAGGTATGTAGACTCGGAACCAAAGGTTACGAGTCTTATCTACAATGACATCGTGTGAAGCGACGCCATTGATTGATTTTGACATCGATGGGATCCGGAAGTGGACTAAGGTGAGAATAGGACGGTTGATTGTGCCGTTTTTCCGGCAAGCTGCGTCAATGACAGTGGAGAGGACGGAAAGAGTAATGCGTGCTTTCCATGGTAAGGAGAGTGACGACTGTGGAGGTTTATCGGTGGTCTCCATTGACATGAAATCAAAGGGAAATATATGGGTACTTTAACGAATGTGTTATTTATAAGAATTGGAAATATATATTTTAAATTTGTAACTCCGGGCCCATGCTTTCTATCTTTGGCCTATGGGTGTGTGACCATTTAATGTGATTGTAAATTAATTAATTAACTAATTATATATCTTTTTATTTTTTATTTTTTATTTTTGTTTTTTATTTATTTATTAATTTATTTATGATAAAGTAGTAACTTATTTCATGATAAGACTATGTTTCTCTTCATTTTTTATTTTTAATAGACAATTTAAAAAATATGTTTGGTTACCACTGATTGATTTCTTATTTTTATTTTGGAAAATTAAAATAAGACAAAATTTCACGATTGGTCCCTGTGGTTTACACAATATCGCACTTTGAGGACTTTCTAGCAAAAAGTCACGCGAATGGTCCTTAAGGTTTCATTTAATTGCGCGATTGGTCCTTGACCCTAACCCCGTCACTTTTGAACCGTTAGTGAAGGGGTAAATTTATCTTTTCATCTTGTTGTGCATCAGAGTATATAATGTAAGGTCCGCCTTTGTATCCTTCTATTTCTCGTTCCTTGCCTCTGTTCTTCCCTCCCCACTCACATTCTATTCCTAAATTGAAGAAGATGGTGAGATGTCACTGTGGAAGGCCGGCGATTTTGGTGACATCGTGGACTGATTTGAACCCAGGTCGTCGATTCTGGTCATGCTCAAGGTTAGGAGGAACATGCAGCTTTTTTGGATGGTTCGACCCTCCCATGTGCTCTAGGTCATCTGTTGTGATTCCGGGGTTGTTGCGTGGAAGAAACAATCTCGAAGCATGATTGATGATGGTGAAATGGTTACTTTGTCTGAGTTGGTTGTTTTTCATGGTGTGTAAACTTTTCAAGTAAAAAATCAAGAAGCATTTGGGTGGGTGGGGGGGGGGGGGAAATCTGTGACTTGGAATCTGTGTTTTGGTCCCATTTTTGTTATAGCTTTTGAAGGATTTTCCCTATGATTGTATGTAATGTTGGGACAAGAAAATGTAACAGATATAATATGTAATGTAAGTTTGATGTTTTGTTTTAATGTGATGGATATTATATTAGCAAGGAAGGAAATTGTCAATTTGATTGCATGTAAGTGTAATGTTGATTATTAAAGTGCAGTAACATAGCCAAAAAAACTAATTACCAAAGTAGCATTACCATTAACCATAATGCATGTAAGTGCAATATCATGTTACAAACATAGAATACCCAAAAGACCTATCAAAAGTAGTTATTTTGACTGACATACCATAACCAAACTTAGTAAACATGTTCTAACTTTAATTAGACATAATAGCAAAAGATTACTTAGAACTACAAACTAAGCTACAACATGTTTTCCCTTCTTCTGTTCACTCCCCTTTCCAGCTTCACTAGGACCTCCTTGCCCCTTGCAAGTCCTAGCATTGTGACCTTTGTTGTGGCATTTGCTGCAAGTGACTGTCAAATGTTTCCTACTTAACTTGGTACTTTGAGTTGGCTCATCAACTGCCCTCTTTCTTTTTTTCTTTGGCCTGCCAACCTATAAACAAATTTATATGGTTACATATTAACAAGTTTATTAAATAGTTTCAAGTTAAATTATACAAAACATGTATGACAACAAACCTGTTTGTGATGTTTCGGTAGGAGAAGGGTTGTTGGACAATCAGATCTAGGCCACATGCTCCTTCCATTTATTGGGTCGATTGTGTGTTGGTACATAGCATTCCATGTACTAACCCAGTAACATTTGCTCATCCAAGCCTCAGGATCTCTACATTCTGACCCATTCTGCATCTTATCATACATTGCAGCAATAGCATGCTGGCATGGAATACCTGTAATGTCCCATTTCCTGCAAGTGCAACTCCTCTCTTTCAAGTTAACAACATACTGCTCCATCGATAGACCAGTCACTTGATATTTATCAGCTCCATTAAATAGAACCCTCATCTTATTTGCCTCTGTCTTATTGTTTTCTAAGATTGTTGTTGCAGTTGTACTTAGAGAACCTTTGCATTTGTCTAGCACCTTATGAACATTTACTATTCTCTTTGTGAGGTATTCTCTAATGTATTCCAAACAAGTGATTATAGGCTTGTCCCTTGCTTCATCTAACTTGGAGTTAAATACCTCACACAAGTTATTTGTCAAACTATCAGTCAATGCCCTTCTTATATATAAAACCAAACAATTAATTAGTAAAATCAGTTGTGAAATATGTTAGTGAAAAGAGTATGATACTTACCAGAGAAATGGGATCTTGCCCAATGTTTTGCAGGAATTTTACTTAACCACTCATGTGCTTCTGGGTTAAGCTTTTTTCAGTTTCTCAATAGCCCTATTAAATTTTGGTATGTTGTATACTTTTCCACAACACCATACTGCTTCCCTCAATTCATCTCCTTTGTGTTTCAATTTCATGTTGTCATACACATGTCTTAAACAGAACCTTTGCTCAGCTAATGGAAATAACTTCTCTATTGCAGCCAAGATTCCCTGTGAGTACAATTAAAATAAGTTAGTAAATGAAAAAAAAGTAAAAGTTTTTGAAGTTAGAGGGTACCTTTTGTCGATCTGAAATGAAAGTGAAGTTAGATGAAGAATTCAAATCTAAGTCATCACCCAAGTGTTCCAAAAACCATGTCCAATAGTTAATATTTTCAGTCTCTACAATGGCATATGCAACTGGGTAAATGCCATTGTTCGAATCAAGCCCAACTGCAGTAAGAATCTGTCCTGGAAAGGGACCCTTCAAAAACGTACCATCAAATCCAAGAAAATCCCTCAAACCTTTTTTAAATCCCTCCTTCAATGGACCTAAGCATATATATATATATATATATATATATATATATATATATATATATTCGTTTGAAGATCCTTGTTTCATAACACAAATTGGGTTCAGTTTCGACATCTATCTTCACAGTTGTTCCTGGATTCTTTGACTTCAATTCCATGGCATATTCTCTCAAAACACCATACTGCTTTTCATAATCACCATAAACATATTGTTTTGCCATAGCTTTGGCCCGAAATACTTTCATCTTTGATATTGAAAGTGAATACATTTGTACTAAGTCCTCCTGTAAAGCACGTGTAGGGATCTTGGGGTTACTTTCAACTTGATGCAATATGTTGTTAGCTAGAAATTTAGATGAACAACCCTTCATTGTCCTTGTTTGCAAACAAGAATGACAATCTTCGTATGTTTTGATAGTCCAAACTTGTTTCTCGTCTGCCCCAGATATAAAAAGAACCCATGGACAAGTTGTTTTCTTGGAAAGTACTAAATTGCCCCTACCTTTATTACTGTCACCAGTCAATTCAGGAACAATACCCCTACACTTTACCCTAACTCTTGTCTTTTCATTCTTTACATAATGTAGATCCCTCCTTTCTTTTACAGAGTAGTTGGCAATAACTTCTCTTATTTTTTCCTTTTCCTTGAACGTCTGACCAATCTTAAAAGCTTTAGTGTGAACCTCACCAGATGAACAAGCAACTGGTTTTAGAATAGACCTTAACAATTTCTTTCTAGGCTCTTTTTCAGTAGCAAATGACTCAAAGACATCATTGTCTAAGACTTCTAAAGGTTCATCTTCAACGTCTTCATGTTCCTCTGTATTATTGTTTGTCGGATCAGGCTGGCCCAAGTCAATGTCTTCATCAAGTACACTAAAGAAGTTGATCATGTTCACCTCCACATCATCTATCAAAGGTTCCTCATCAAACACTGTTTTTTTTGCATCATGCTGACCATCAAATTCACTTTCATCTGCAGTATCCTCACAGTCATATTCATCATCTACAACTGGATCATTATTCATAACTGGCTCATCATATTGATCATCTATGATTGGCACATCATTCATAACTGGCACATCATTCATAATTGGTTCATCATTCGTAACTGGTTCATCATTCAAAACTGGCTCATCAGTCATAACTGGCTCATCATCCATAACCGGCTCACTATCCTATATCACTTGTGAAGGTCCATCAAATGTTCCATATGGCACAATAGACAGGGAGTAGTCTAATTTTTTCCTAGAAGATCCAACAACTTTTCCCTTCTTTTGGTTCCTATCTAGTTCAGGGGATACATCAGTAACCAACTCCTCAATAATAACCTTGGTGGGGGACAAAAAATAACTGTTAACCCTTGTATGCCCATGCTCTATGTAGATACTTAAAAGGTTATTTTTTTCCACATAATTTGACAATACATGCACATCCCCATCATTTCCTAGAGGTAACAGACCAAAGTCTAACTCTACTTCTGGAATAAGAAAATGATAATACAAAGTTTGCCCTTCTACGTACCCTATTTCTCGAACCATTGTATCCAACTCATCCACAGAGAAAACGCCAATATCTACGAAGTCAACATAGTGTATTGTTCCATCTACGTACCTTCTCCCAGGGCTTTTCGTGAATATCCCACCATGATGGATTTTCAGAGTGAAATAGTTGCTTATTCCCTCTGAAAAAAAAGAAGAACAAAAAAAATTTCAAAAATTTGGGCATAATATCAAATCGACAAAATCAAAGATCACTTTAGTAAGTCACTTACGGTATATCCTTTCCAAATCATAGTTTGATGCTTTCGTGTATTTGGAACGAAGTGACCATAACGTTAACACCATTATCGTTTTCAATCGGCAGATGATCCTCGCCTTGTGTTCTGTTGGAGAAGACGAAGATGAATGCGAAAGGGTAATGGGTAGCTGGGGAAGATGATCTTTGTACTTAATTGCAGAGTTCATGCGTATATTATGTGCATAATGATCGATTATTAGAGTGACTGCAAGATGAAAAGACAAATTTACCCCTTCACTAACGGTTCAAAAGTGATGGGGTTAGGGTCAAGGACCAATCGCGCAATTAAATGAAACCTTAAGGACCATTCGCGTGACTTTTTGCTAGAAAGTCCTCAAAGTGCGATATTGTGTAAACCACAGGGACCAATCGTGAAATTTTGTCTTAAAATAATATGTATTTTTTATAGTTTTTAT